CATAAGAAGCGTGTTCTATTTTATAACAAGAGTCAAAGAGAAAATAAGAATCACTTAATATAAATGGTTTCTGCAGCAAATTCCATTAGAAATTGTGTTTTTTGAACAATAGGTATTATTGAGGAGGTAATTCAGGCCTAGGCTTGCACTTTCTGGAATTTTCTGGGGAAAGTGTCAATAAGGAGGTGAAGAAACAGGGTGATGGTCTGGATAAATTGGTTAAACTTAATCTCAGAAACTCTGAAGGATCTCTCCTCACCCTTCTATAGTAGCAGCTGCAATAGGATGAAACTATAGTATGATTTTACCTTAATTTGCATAGCAGTTTGCCTCACATTTTCAAAAAGTGCTAATAGATGTTAACTCAAAATAGATTAAAATACCAGACAAATTGCTATTACCTTAAAAAGAGTTATAATAATTTTGAAAATGTAAATTATGGCTATACAGTCTTTGGAGAGAACTATATTTCTTATATTAAAAATAAAACCTGTGGTACAAGCTTTTTTTCCCCTTTAATCACAGTAATTTCTTCAAATGACACTGCGGCATACTTCTTTAGGAAGATACGCTGCATTTTTCAAATCTTATGTGTAATATAAGAATTGCCATTGATAGTTTTCAGCAGGTGAAAAAGAAATTATAGAAAACCAGGGATCATGGGGAAACTTTTTAAAATTCATCTTTATATTCCTTTTTTTATATTACATACATTTTATGAGTTGGAACAGAGAATGGTTCTTTTCATTCTAGCAAGTGGGGTTGTGCATGACAAAATGTCTGCAGAAATGTGTATGTAGGCGTAACGATTTAAAATGATTTGGACCCTCCTGGTGTCTTACACCCAACTTTTTCTCTAAGGCACCAAAGCACTTATGGAGTCTATACAAAGAGGTGAGCATAGTTTATACTTCTGAGGAGTAAATGAAAATAACTTCAGTATAAAATTTGTCACACCGTATCACCAGGAGACCCTATAAGTAAAAGATAGAACCTTCCCTAGTGGGAGTACATGTATTTCCCCTGAATAGCTTCTACCCAACAAAGCTCTAAAATGGAAAATTGGCATTTTCCCTACTGCTTTGTTTTGCTAACACAGTTAGCAAAAAGATTGCTTAGAAGACATGTTATATCCACGGAGGATTACCTGTAACGTTTTTCATACAGCTATACAAAGCCAACTTACTGTCCTTGCCCATAACCTATGAAAGCCAGAGATCTAACACACTCGATATTCTTAGCTATAGGTGGACCTTACTTTATGCAACAGAAATAGGTAAATTGAATTTTGGTAAATCAGAGGAATAGAGAACACATTAAGAGAGCTGACAAAATAACCATACCATGAAAGTCTTTGCTAAAGTGAACAATTATCTCCTAATTTATGTACTTCATAAATCCATATCTCATGTATCAAGTTTGCTTAAGGTGAATTTTATATCTCCTCTTGAAAAACAGTTGTCACTTAGTGATATTTTCTCTTTTTAAAAATTGGACCCTCGGGGCTTCCCTGGTGGCGCAGTGGTTGAGGGCCCGCCTGCCGATGCAGGGGACACGGGTTCGTGCCCCGGTCCGGGAGGATCCCACATGCCGCAGAGTGGCTGGGCCCGTGAGCCATGGCCGCTAAGCTTGCGCGTCCGGAGCCTGTGCTCCGCAGCGGGAGAGGCCGCAACAGTAAGAGGCCCGCGTACCAAAAAAAAAAAAGAAAAAATTGGACCTCCAAAGCAAAATGCCTGTCAACCCTCGGTATAAAACTTTGTACAGGCCTATGTGTAGATTAGAAAAGATGTACTGCAGAAGACAGGCCCCATCTTTATGGTGGGTTTAAACGTTTTCTCTTCTCCCTCCGTTTTTCATCTCTTTTTCAGTTAGTTGTTCCTTGAATGCTAAGTGATTTGAGCTGTGTTTACTTCCTTTCCAATTCGATGCAGATTTTCTGAAAGTCCTCTGACCAGATGACTTCAGCTGTCCCTTAGAAGGACCTGCATCCTTCTGGGTTTGTTCAGGGCTAGAGGGTGGAACGTAACCTAACCACAGCCTGGGGAATGTCAGGTAAAGAAAAGGGAGGATTTCCTGAAAGTGGATATTTAAAACCCGGACTGTATTACTAAGAAAAGTTCTGAACTCTTCTCCAGAGAGCATTAAGATAGAATAGATTCTTCTTGTATCTGAAGTATTTTTTAAAAATTTTTATTGGAGTATAGTTGCTTTACAGTGTTATGTTAGTTTCTACTGTACAGCAAAGTGAATCAGCTATACGTATACATATATCCCCTCTTTTGGAGATTTCCTTCCCAGTTAGATCACCACAGAGCACTGAGTAGAGTTCCCTGAGCTATACAGTACGTTCTCATTAGTCATCTATTTTATACATAGTATCAATAGTGTATAGTTACTTCTTGTCCTGCGATGATTTTATTTTGAGCATTGCAACTTATGTTATCAAGGTTTATTTCTGAAATATCTCAGAAGTTGAACAATATTGAGCATCACTATAGAGAACTGGTCACCCTACCATAGCATTAATTAATTCAATGAATGACCATTTACTGAACGCCAGCTGTACTAATAAGAGCTACCATTTGGGGACCGTTTTATGTCAGTCGCAGTGTTAGGCATATTAATTTATCCTTGTAACAGTCCTGTGACATCAGTACTATTATCCAGTTTTTACAGTTGAGGAAACCAAATTGTAAAGTGAAACCAGGATTCCAACCTGTGCCTGGTTGACTCTCAAGTCAGCTACAGCTGTCATGTTTCTTCTCTACTTTGTACACAGCTCTGTAGCCTTAAAGATAAAAGGCAGTCTCTGGTCCCCAGACTTTGGTTCAGGTAGAAGAGAGAGACAAGTAAAGATATGATTGCAACACAATGTGAGAGTGCTTAAATAAGAGACAAGCCTTGCAGTTACCCGCCATGGGTCCACAGAGAAGGTGTACCGAGACCAACCTCGTGGGGAGATAGGCTTGCTTAGGGAAGGTTTCCTGAAGGAGGGAATTCCTGAGCTGAATACAAGTTCCTCTGGGAATTGTTGGTCTTTAGTATGTTGTGATTAGTATGTTAGTGTCTGGCTTTGCCTTGCTCTTGGGTTTCTATTTTTTATTTCTAGTTTGTTATTGTTTTCTCATTCATTCACTGAGAAGTAGGCCTGGCTCATGAATACAAAAATGATCATGGCTCTTGTAAGATCTTACATGGGAACAGGAGTAGACATTAAACAAAGCAATTATAAACTAACTTTGAAGGTACCATGAAAGAAAAGTAGGCAGTGTTGGAAGAGTGAATAACCCGGAAGCCTTACCTCATGTGGGGAGGGGAGCAGGGTGAGGGCAGTGATCAAAGTTCCCTGGGGAAATGACACTGAACTGAGAATAAGGTGGAGTAGGCATGAGAAGGGGACATTCAGGTGGAAGTGGATTTAACAGTATTCCAGATAAAGAGAACAGCATGTGCAAAGATCCTGAGGCCCAAAGGAACTCGGACAGCTTGATAACTTTAAATTAGGTCAGGTGACTGGTTAGTATCAAAAATATACTAGAGAGATAGGCATGGCTAGATGATGCATGACTTTCTAAGTGTACTGTTCTAAGCAGCCTCAACTCAAGCAAGACTTAGGATAGAAATTCAAATATAAAAAATCAAAAATTATATTGCTTAGAACTCCTTTTGAGATCATCAGTTGATATTCTCAACTCTAACTTGTATATCAGTTTTTCTTTTTTATTCAAAATTATTTTGTGTTTTTGTGAATAAAATGTTATACATTGTATCTACATCACAAAAAGAATTAACTGCATGGCTTGGTTGAATTTGGAATGAAAATTGATTTTAATACAAGAAAGTCTTGTATAGAAATGCTGACAAAGACTAAGTATCATCAGTGCAATGTGGAAATATCAACTCTAAATTTAACAGAAAGATTATATATAACATGGTTTACCAAATCACCCAGAAAACACCATGTTATTTCAGAAAAGTGCAGATGACTTAATGTCATGGTCATCACACTCCCAAGCGTGCTTTCAAAGCAAACAGCAAGGGTTTGATGTTGTTTTAGGTTTTTCCTTGTGGTCCTGATCTTTTTCAATAGTGGACAGACATGGAGAGGGAGCACAAAAATGTGTATCACCAGCACCTTCTTTCAGACCAGCTTACCCATTATAAATGAAATATTGATGTATTTGAAAATGCCCGAGTGTTCAATAAAGATTTTAAATAAAGCTACCTAAAAGTTGCAGTTCTTAGGTTAATCATTTATTTATCTAAAGGATGAAGGAAGCTGTCTACTTTTGTGATATGAACTGCAATCAGCTTAAAAATAATTGACAAATTAATCCCTTCACAGCACAGCAATTGTAAAGGTGTTAGTTTTAATTAGGCCTGTCTGATTGCCTTGTCTAATCAAGAATCAAAGTGGTATCTTTGATGGTTAAGGTCTATTGGGGCCATCCCTGACCTGCCAGCCATGTATGTTTTAATTATTGATTCTTCACAATTCAGCCCTTTCCACAAAGGGACTTGAAGTTTGCAGTACCTTAACGTTTAAAGGGAAGAAATATAAACATTTTCCCCAACACTTCTATCCAGAATCCTGTGTATCCTCTCCACCAATCTACAGTTCTATCCTAAAAAAGCTGTCAGGTGGACGATGAAGTCCAGTGCACACTAGGATGCTAACTGCTGCCTCACCTCCCAAGCACTCCATTTTCAATGGACATTGTTAAGATCTTGACAAGTCACAGTCATCTATGCATCTAGAAAACACTAACTTCTTGATATCGTGCCTTTTCAGAAAATCCCTTAGGGCGAATGTAGTACTTAGGAAATCAGGGAGGTCACACAAAAAGCGACACTGTCTTCTCACGAAGCGTTGGTCACACTGCTGAAAAGGAAGGAGACGAGGGTTCCCGGTGCCGTGGAAAGTGCACCCCAGTGAGCGTGGGCAGCTGGTGGTTTCGGTGGTCCCTGTGGGTGACCGTGGCTCTTCTTTGTGTTTGCAGGTCAGTGAAGTGACAGTGGAGCAGCTGGTGCAGCAGTACCCCCATATCACCTTCAGCACCGTCCTGCAGGACTGCAAGAGGACCCTGGAGAGAGCCTATCAGATGGGCTGGACCCCCAACATGTCTGCTGCCTCCTCCTGACAGCTCTGCCCACGCTTGGGTCCATGTGGATCAGCCAGCAGGGCGGAGAAGAATTGTAGAGCTGGGGTGGGTGATCTCTTGCAAAGGTTTTGACTGTCCCGTGTCTCCATGTGTACCCGAGTGTGTATATCTGTGTCTCGTTTGCATACTGCGTAGCATAAGCTCAATTGCTATTTTGTTCCCAGGTGAGCTGGTTTTTTTCCTTAAATAATGATTTTGACAGGCACAGACCTTTAGTTTTTAAGTTCAAAGGCTTATTTCTCTAAAAAAAAAAATTTTTTTTTTTTTTTTTTCTGTAGAATCAAAAAAAAAAAAAAGGATCCATTATTTTGAGCTTCTAATGACTGCCACTGGAGATGCCTCCAAATGAAGGCAACTGCCTTCTTTTTTGATGGGAAAGAATTGTGCGATTCTACTGATGATGACTGGAAAGGAGCCACGTTTCGCTAATTAGAAGCCTGGAAACCAGTACTTTTCAAGATTTCAAGCACGTACACACACATAGGTTCTCATACTCTCTCATACACACACACACACCCCACAGCACTTTCTTTCTAGATCATTTTCTGACACAGGGGCCTTTCTCCAGGCCACTGAGGGAGCATGGCATCCACTGTCACTCTGCCTAACTCACTGTCCCCAAAGGTGGCCCAACCTGCTTGTCTGGTGGGCGACTTAGGGACTATAGGGGACAAAACCTTTTGTGAAGTTTTCATATGGAGGCAACAATCTGAACTCCCCTGACCAGCTCACAAAAGTTAATTATTCATTATTGTACAAAATTCTATTGAGTACTAAGTATTTTGAGTTTCATGTTAGCATTGTATTAGCTTTTATAATACAATGGATAGTAACTGGTCTGGATATGTTTTAATGATATTTGGAGCTACTCTTAGCATTATCCACATTAAAGCCACCAATGTAATTACTAGTGTGCAGTTATTTAAAAAAAAAAACTCTACAGATCATTTAATTATTTTTGTTAATTTTGGTAATTATGAAAGTATATTTCTGAGATTTGGGGCTAGTCACGTTAATAGAAGGTTAATGAGTGAGATATGAGTAGACAATCTTTCTATTAAGTTTTTTTTTTTTTTTTTTGCTTTGGGCTTTAGAACAGGTTTTTTGGATATATGCATGTTATCATATTTTGAATAATTACTATGCTATGGCAAAGATCTGTTGCTGGTTAATGTATGAGTTAAGAAGAAAAATTAGAAAATCTTTTCATTAAGCTTCTGTTTACACTTGTCAGAAATAAGCATTTCTTTGTTTAATTAAAGATTGCCAGTTTTCAGTTTAGACAGTATCTATTAGTAAATGAATATATGTTTTGATTTCACACATCTTTACGAGTAATTCATATTGGAGACTCAGGCTCAAATAACCTTTCCTATGTCTAGATTTATAATCAAGACAGCAGGAAGGCTTTTTAAGCTAAAGAGTGATTGTCTTTCATAGTAGAGTTAGATATACAAAACCCTGACTTGTGAGCTTGCTGTTTATTCTTTCCCAATGTGGACATAACTGTTTTTTGGTCTTTAACAGATATGCTAAGATTTGAGATTCACTTTATATAAGTCCCAGTGTTGCTAAAATGATACTAGCTGTAAGAAATGAAAAATAGCTTTACATTCAAATGCCACTCACTTATTTATAATAACTCGTTTTGTGTAAACAACTTTCCTTTGATTATGTCAACCTGTTTCTGATGTGGCATGTTTTTGCTTTTAATCCCAATCAGTTTGGAAAATCTAGTCACTAAGCACCGAGAGTATTTTTTCCATCACTAAATGGCTTACTAATTTAATTTCAAGGGAATAAAATTTATGTAAGAAAAAAAAGCTGTTTACTATTAACAAACTGTAATTCTTCTTAAACGTTGAACCGTATCACCTTCATGTTCATTTCCCCACTACTGAAAACTATCTTAATTCACAATATTTTAACTGATTTTTAATCCAAAATTAATTTATAAGACAATATGTAAAGTAATAGTAGCTTGAGTGAATAAGCAAAAGTTTAATTTTTATATATGTCACACTATATTTTAAATAGTTAAAAAAGACAAAAGGAAGGAGAACCATCGATGATATAGGTGGTGCCATTTCAGTTCAAAGTTGTGATAATCCTTGGAATGTCACAGTTTGGTTGTCAGATGGTTTCAGAAGTGTGTAATCGATTTTTTTTTAATGTTGCGTTGTTTGAATCTCAAGTACAGCACTATAACATGCTTTAGCTTGGGGGTGGGGGTGGGTTGGGGACTTGCACTTATTCTTTAAGATGTTGACTAATCCAGAAAGCCTGATGCATCATAACCTGGAAAACTGCTTTGGTGTGTTTGTAGGAATCTGTAGAAACATCACATCCAGCTTCAAAGCATTAATCACAAAAACAACCAGAAAAAGCATCACCTTGAATGATGCTATGATGGTTGTTGAATGTGCTCTCACTAGATGCTTTGAAATAAGGCTTAAAATGATTTTTCTGGGCAATATAGAGTTTCTTTTTTTGCTTAGAATGTCATAAATATATGTGAACATGTTTAATGCAGGGCTTTTTATCCTCTCCAAAATGTCAACAGTATTTTCAGAATAAAGACTATGAAATATATTGCTGTGGTGGAAAATTCTGGTCCTTTGTCTTTAACGTCTCTTTGAGTGGATAAAGGAAATTCATCCAGTTTCGAGTTTCTATATTTCTGTGAATCTTTTGACCTTGCAATGGGTTGCAATAAAAGAGAAAGAAAACACAGTGTCTTTTGTTTTATTTTAGAGACAATAAATGGCCTCCCTTATGCTGGTTGGGTGTGATGCATGCAGCGGTCCGTGTCCTTGGGTGTTTCACTGCAGACTTTATGTAGGTTCAGTGAACCCAGAATAATAAACAAGACTGAATTTAGGAGATTTGCATTTGGCCAGTGAGTACTGAGATAAGATTAAAACCTCAAGGGTTTAAACAGGTGGTCCGTTTAAAGTACCCTTCCCTAAACCCTCATTCATTTACTTAGCCATTTATTCATTTTCTCAAAAGTAAATAAATAAACTTATTGAGTAAAAAACATGTGCCAGGCACTGGGCATTTAAAGATAAATAAAACTCATTCCCATCCTGCAATTGCTCATAGCATAGCAAGGAGACAGTCTTAAAAACTAGCCATAGTAGCGGAGCACAGTCGATATAATCATTAGAGGGAGCACAAATAGGAAAGGCAATACCCTTTTACAAAGAGTGAACTAAAAGCAAAGCGAAGCAAAGCAAAAGTTGAAGAGGTAGACAGTAAGAAAAATTAGTATTTTCAGCCTTGGCTATTCATGGATTGTTTTTTAGAAAGGTTCTTCTGAAAATAAGTGGCCACTGGCTACCATTCACATGGGTTTTTCTGAATCTACAGTATTTGCATTGTTTGTATCGCTTGTAATTTTATTTTTAAAAGGATTCATTTCAGGGGTGCTCATTGCCCAACAAAGCAGACAAAAATCATCCGAAGCCTCAAAAGAAAAACAAATATCCTGCCAGCAAATATGAACTCACAGTCTAAATCACAGAGAATAGCAGGGGTAAGCCAACATTAGTTCAAGTCAACAGAGAAAACAAACAATAGGCCCACATCCTCAAAGGCTTCAATATTAAATGTTAAGATAGATAATTTGGAATAAATGATATATTAAAATATATTAAAAATTATTTATAACGTATAAGAAAAAAACTACCAAAAAATGAACAGAAATATTTTTAAAAGAGCTAAATAGAATTTTTAGAAATGAAAAATATAATTGACCATTAAAATGGAAAGGCATGAGTAGAAAAGATTCAGCTATAGGGATAATTCGTAAACAGAAAGGTAGATGTGAGTAAACTAAAAGGAAAATTGAAAAAAAGAAGCTTTTCTTCTTTTGCGTGGATAATTTCCATATGGATGACTGAGAGGTTAAGACACATGGGACACAGTATGAGACTTTCCAACATATCTAATCTTGCAGAAGAAAAAATAGAATAAGGGAATGGCAGTGTTTAAAGCTATAATGGAGTTTCCATTTACTTAAGAAGAAAAAAAAGATTTTGAAGGAGAACATCAAAGGCTCAGTTTTGGATGAGTTAATTTTGAGATGCTCATTAGACTTCCAAATGAGTATATTGAGTATGCAGTTGGATATAGGAGTTCAGTTCTGAGGAGAGGTATACAGATGGCATTTCAAACCATAAGCCGGTCTGAAATCGTCATCTCTGGTCATCATCCATTACTTTAGGCCTATGTCTTTGGTCACTCCAAAATTTGGAAGGAGGACAACCAGGAGTGTGTTCTATCCTAGAATCAAGTGCAAACAAGCAAAATTAAATAAGCTATTATTTAGGGACGCAGTGTATTAATAAAAAAAAAGGAAAAGGGAACAACTGCACAGTTTCAGGGTGGTGGTTACCCTTGGGTGGGCAGGCGTGGGACCACATGGAGGGCTTCAAGTGAATCTGCAGATTCTGCTTCATTAGTTGAAGTGTAGATTCACCAGTGTTTGCTTTATTAATGTGCTTCATAATGTGTTCATATGTAACAAATTATTTTGTATCGAATGTTTTGTTAACTTTATAAAGAAAATTTTATACCTTGTTTAAACTGATTGATTTTCCAAAATTGCTAAACCTAGATGCAAGATTCCCTACCTGTTTGGTAGTGGAGGTTAGCTCTGTGTGATGCAGAGTTTACACAATCCCATGTCTCAGCAGGTGGCAGAAGTGGGAGAACATTCTAGCCTCACCTTTCTTTTCTCCTGTGCTGGGAGCATAGCGTTGCGTAACTCCTTGGTTTCTATCCGACCATCATTGGAATTTTAAGTGGAACAGCTGTCCATGTGGCAGGGAGACAGCTGTGGGAATTCTTCTGGCACACCTGTCATGTCATTACCACTACAGGAATCAAAGGACCACTACACTGTTTTGTAAAACAGTGGGGGGCCCTTTCATTATCACTTCATTTTTTTTTTTAATATTTGAAAGTAGCTTTTTTTAAAAAAAAATTGGGGTATAGTTGCTTTACGGTGTTGTGTTAGCTTCTGCTGTACAAGGAAGTGAATCAACTATACATATACGTATAAGCCCTCCCTCTTGAACCTCCCCCCTATCCCACCCATCTAGGTCACCAGAGCACTGAGCTGAACTCCCTACTCTATACAGCAGGTTCCCACTAGCTATCTGTTTTATACATGGTAGTGTATATATGTCAATCCCAATCTCCCAATTCATCCTCCCTTTCCCCCTCCCCCACAGTGTCCACATGTCCCTTCTCTATGTCTGTGTCTCTATTCCTGCCCTCCAAATAGGTTCGTCTGTACCATCTTTCTAGATTCTGCATATATGTGTTAATAAACGATATATGTTTTTCTCTTTCTGACTTCACTGTTTGACAGTCTCTAGGTCCATCCTTGTCTCTACA